TGTCTACCAGCCTCTAGTAAAACTTCTGCGTTCCTCTTTATTGTATTTATATCGTCCCCCAATAAATTAACATCATCAGCAAATGCTAATAACCGACGTGTCCCGTTCAATTGCAAACGCTCCGGCCTATCTTGGACTTGGCGTAACTCGAAGAGCCTTCACTGAATAACGCTAATACTGTTCGTACATCAACAGTTTTCAAGGCTTCCATGTTAGTACACGTCAGGACGCAGGCTACAAGATGGGGCACGTTCCCTAAATGCGTGATGCTCATTTCAAGTTTTAAAGTAACTAAACCGCGGTCACGACGATATTAGCCACAAACCAGTTTATTACGAGCGTCTTACACCGAACAGGAGAAGAGAGAAACCAGAACTCACAGGCTGAACGTCGATGTAGAGCTGGTGCTTCTCCGGATCAGGCGGGCTCATTCCCTCGACGGCGTCTCGCAGCTTCGGGTCGGCAAGGTAGAAATGCGGGAAAGACAACATTATCGGCGAGTCTGAAATCAGATGTCGCGAGGTGAGATCTCCCGTTCTCATGGCAATCAGCGTCTTCTGGGTCTCACAGACACTTCGCCATCATCGGAGGCAGTGAGCACCTCATTGGTCAGTTTCTACCAGACCAGAGTCAACAGTAAATGGACCACGCGTTAAGATGTGAGACGCACACTCGACAAGATTCAAACTAGAGCCACCCTTGCGATCTTGACCGTCGACTCTGACAGAACCAGTCAATACCAAAGACTCTTTGAGTCACAAAATCACGAATTACGCTAAAAGGAACTAATTTGTGGATAAGCCACCAAGGAGATTACAGACTCAGATTACGAGGTGCGATCGGAAAGTTTCCAGACTGCGCGTATAAAAACCCGTACACTTATCTCAGGTATTAAATTCATCCATCACCCTCGAAGTAGTTCCCCTGGGAGTGAACACAACGATCCCAGCGCCGCTGCCAAGTCTCGAAGCATCCCTGGAAATCTTTCTTTGTCAGCCGGGGAGTCCGCAAACTTTTGTGTGGCATTCACGTTTTAAAAATGGCCGAACCTCTGTCGATGATGACGAGCGTTCTGGACGACCATCTTCGAGCACAACGCCCGAAAATGTTACGAAGCTCGACGTCGTACCATCAACGACTTGTGCGACATTGTTGGGATAGGCTATGGGACCTGTCCGCTGATTCTAAAGGAAGAACTCCACATGCGACGCATCATGACAACGCACCAGCGCACACCGCCTTCAAAGTTCGGCAGTTTTTGGCCTCAAACACCATGGCCGTCATCCTGCACCCTCCTTATTCGCCGGATTTAGCTCCGTGTGACTTCTTCCTCTTCCCAAAGATGAAAATTCAGCTAAAGGGAAGGAGATTTGAGACGATAGAAGAGATTCAGGCAGAATCGCAGATGGTGCTTGACAGGCTGACAAAGAAAGATTTCCCGGGATGCTTCCAGGCTTGGCAGCGGCGCTGGGATCGTTGTGTTCACTCCCAGGGGAACTACTTCGAGGGTGATGGATGAATTTAATACCTGAGATAAGTGTACGGGTTTTTATACGCGCAGTATTGAAACTTTCCGATCGCACCTCGTATCTCAATAGTTCGAGTGACAGGATTATCATTTACGACAATTTGTAAGTTTTTCTTTAAAAAATATTTATTTGCAAATCTACGAAGTGACTTCGTGATCGTTGTGTTATTTAATGATGCTGTATCAGTTTCACAATGGATAAACCGAGGAGAATGTCGGTGGAATCGGCGGTGAACTCTTAATCGGACTGAAGACACGTCAGTCAGAGCCAAAATTAAGATTAAAATTAGGTGCGTACCAAACTGACAGAGACTGATGTTGAAGAGTCCATTTGGAGAACATGGAGGACCCGATGGACAGAAACAGTCATTTTCTGGATTTTTCGCTACATCTGCAAACACATCTTTCGGGGGCGTGAATCTATAGCCCTTAACCCCTCCGGCAGTCTCAACCTCTTGTAAAAACCTGCAACAAAAATTCAAGCGCTTACAATTCTCTAAGTTCCAAATCAGGATCATAATTCCGGTCATTTCTAATTTCCTCGTTACCTTTCATCTAAAATCCATTAATTTCAATTATTTACGCCAAAAATTTCAAGGTTTTTTCCTAAGCCACACGAGCAGATGCAAATTTCTTGCATACGACGAGAAAAATACCCCGAGAGGCACACCTGAGGGGAAGCAGGCGACAGAGGTCCTTCTCGTATACGTAGAGAGTGGTGTTCGGTGTGATGTGAGGAGGAAAGATGGAACCATCACTGCCGTTCAGTCTGTTACACTTCTCCGTCTTCCAGTGAGTCAGATGCGAGAGACCATTGAACTTGTCGATTAATCCAAACTGCCTGATGTCATTGCCTCCGGTGAACACGGTGACATTGTCTGCCGACGTCGAATTCTTCTGCAGATGAAACGGTAAATCATTACGCATTTGCGCAAATTCCAACATCAAATTTCACAAAAATGTTTTTCCATACACAGAACTGAATGACGCAAGGTTCCTAGAATAAACATACAGTTTCTAGGGTACCCTGCCCGTTCAAATTCACTTCTGAGACAAGTTTTTGACGTGAAAACGTCTTTAAAATCGATGTCGGGTGTGGGGAGGCGATCGCGCCCAAATTAGCGAGTTTCTGTCGAAGTAATTTCAAACTTCAATAACTCGGCTACAAATAAACATAGCGCCGCCATCTTAGTCTCGTTTTAAAGAGGAAGGATGAAAGTTTGTGCCAGTACCGCTCCGACATTCGTGGCGCCGGACGTCGCGAGCTGCGCATGCGCAAAATGAACACACGATTTTCGACTTTCCGGATTCGACACGTGTCCATAAACGGGATCATATCTCAGAGACTAATTATCCGATCCGAATGAACCAAGTGTTGTTTTGAAGAGGAGTGTACATGTTACAACTCCTCCTGGCCTACAAGTGTGTATCTGAAAAACTCAAAAAGATACGAGGCTGTGAATTTGAAAAAGTTTGAAAATTTCCCGATTTTCTTAAAATGTCGCGATATATGAGCGCAAAGTCACCCAGAATTACAAAAATGTTTAATTTCAATATACTATACACGATTGACGTTTTCACGAAAATAACTGCGGCACTGCCCATCAATTTTTTTCCAATTAAGACGAAATAATCATTTACGGGTGAGCCACGATGGTCTAGCGGTTAGAACGCTGGCCTTGTAATCCTGGGGTCTCGGGTTCGATTCCCGGCGGTGACCGAATTTATAACTTGTGTTGGGCAAGGCCGTGGTCTAGGCAACACGGAGTTTTCCTCCGTGGCATCCCAACAATTACTCCATTCACACACAGAAGAAGGCAATGGCAAACCACTTCTGGATCATCTGCCAAGAACGTATATGAACAGGGCCCAGTCCGAGAAAAGGAAAGGATGGAAGGATCCTGTTCATAAAGTGTCGCCAACCTCCTGTAAAGAGACGGCGTGATAAAGAAGGAGAAATAGGATAAAGCGCGGACAGGGTGTGATGTTGACCACTCACCCTCATCTAGTACCGAGGTTGAGAATGAGTAGGAGCTAAACCTCCACTCCCCTGATCGCCACTTACGCCATACATGAGGCCGAACTCTTCGTAGGGCAACTTCTGTTCCTTAGGCACCACGTCCTTTGCAAGCTTCAACAGGGGGTCCTCATAACCCCAAAGCAGTTTTCCCACCGGCACCTCGACAAACGGTCTGATCTTAAGAATGTCCATGATGGACGCCATTGCCAGTCGTAAGAAGCGAGCTGCGTGTTTACTCTGAGACGTTGCACTCTGAAACATCGCATTCCATCGTCTGAGTCACACCACCAAAGCGCAAAACAGACTTACTTCAGCCTCGTTCATTCTGTATGAAGAACGTACGATAATAATACTTAAAGTCTGGGACGTTTCCAGTCACAGATAATTTCCTGTGACGTATTAGCAGCCCATTAATTCCCCTGTGACCAGTGTTTACAAATGGTTACATCTACTCGTCGCAGAGTGGCGCTGCACTGATACGAAAATAAAATTCAAGTAGAATTCTTTTTTGTTGGTAAAATACTTAAGAGTGTGTAGAAAGTAAGTTGATTCACACCTTAAGTTTCCTCATACACAACCTTGAAAGGCATATTTTAATGGCGTGTTGTTACGTAACTTAAAATTGATGATAATAAAATTATGGGTTCCTTTCCTATCGCCGGATCCGAGCATCACAAGATAATGTCCTCATTATTATTTGTGATTCATCACAAGACTAAATACATGAACACGTAACATGATTACATTTAAAATTGTTCGACATTCAACGTAAATTTATTTTACATTAAAACTCTTCATGTGACTTTGATATGTAAAAAGAATTCATACGCGATCTTTTTAAGGTACTACAAAGCCATATCAAATAACTGTAATTCCTCGCTTGTTACAGTTTAATTAAATTACATAATCTTGAAATAATATCAAAAGTACAAGGAAGTTACTCATCTCTGTCAGAATTCTAAACTGACTAGAGCTGAAACCCTGGAGACACGACGTTCGTATTCAGAACTGTTCTGAACGTAATATTTAACAAAACAACGCAGGAAAGGCGAGAAATACTAACCAGCATGGGTATGTTGGGTACAACAACCACGTCTTCCAGATCACCAACAGAGAGTTCAGGTACAAATTTGAATGTTTTGCGCTGGTTAAACGTGATTGTATTATTGTCATTGATTCGCAAGTTCACTTTCTCCCAAACTTCTCTGGAACATGAAAAAAAGTTACAATCGTCAAGTTTCAGTAATTATAAAACTCAATAAATATGAAACATCCGTCTAGATCAGTGGTATTCAACCATTTTTTGTTCGCGTACCCCCAGATATAATTTCTCTTCAACTTTGTACCCCCAAAGTTGTTCGTGTATAATTCAAGTTATACATAGTATATAATCTACATCTAAAATAAATTAAATAAATTACATTACTGATTATTCAGTGTTTATTATAAAATAATATATATTTTTTTAAATTTCACGTATCCCCTAAGATGTCTTCGCGTACCCCAGGTTAAATACCACTGGTCTAGAGCACAAGATATAAATATCATCGAACACTTACAAACATTTCTCATGATAATTAAATTCAATGAAAGCGACAAATACATAATAAAAATAATTATAAAGTAATGTACTCCTCACTTGGAGAACTCATAGATTATAAACCTCTATTCTCTTATTCTCCTTCCCTTATTAATCTTAACATTATCATTAAAAAATGTTACAGCCAAAAAAATTACTTTGACCATCTCTTCCCTGGTCTACCAATTGATCTCCCCCTAGGACAGTGCTCCCAGACCTGACTTGGTAAATATTTCCGCTAATTTCATTCTGTATATGCGAGCCATTGATTTATATTCCCTTAAATCTTGTCACCAAAGTTACACGTTTCCTGTCCATAAGAGAATATCTGACACAGACGTAAGAAATTTCATCTTAACTTCCAGTATCTCATTTTGTAATTGGTCACTGTCCTTGTTTCGCTACCGTAAACTAATTCCCGTGTCACCAAAACTCGTTATCATTTTATTTAACTGCATTTTCTAGCTCTTGATTATCGCCCTGATGATGGAGGCGGCAAGGACCTCTAAAACGTTGGTAAACTTATACCAGACGACGCTACAACCCAGAAGACAGCCATCTTTTAACTCACTGCCATGAAAACCTCAAAACCTACTTAAGTATTCTTTACGATCCTGTAAACGGCGTAGTGTGTACTATCTGCTTCTGAAGGACCCTGCCCCATGGAGATATTTATTAATCCAGACTTTTAACTTGCCCTTTCAGTAATTTACTTAATACTTTCACAGCAATACTGACAAATAACCTAACGAGACGAGACAACGAGTAAGCGACAGTCAATTGTCAGTTCTTGCGCAGATTCGCCGCGCAACAACAACCAAAAAAAGAAGTCACGTGCTCTTGTCCAACAAGCAGCGACATCGACGGAGAACAGTAAATTTAACTCGCCCATTTATGTCAATAGGCTCAGGATGAGACAATAAATGCGTAATGAGACAAAATTGGGGAGACCGAACAATGGCTCACATGCCATGTGACCAGGAAATTGGCGTACACATAGCAAGAAGAAATACTGCTACTTTCACTAACGCCATCAAACCGAACTGTTATGTAAATACAGGTTCCATGTAAAAGCGACCCATGTTGCTGTCTCTAGACGCACAACTTCCTGCAACACTTCAGTAGGTCACACTGAGATATCACCTGTCTGTGGTCCCATATATTTCTGATATGGTATTTCGCATTCGAATGCTTATGAAAACAATTTTATAATGTAATTCTGGTCAAATCGTTACAGTATGAACAAAGAAACGGAAGGCGTGACGAGACGGAAGTCTTACTGACTGCAACAGAAGAATGACAACATTGCATAACGGAGTTTAACAATGAAGTTTCTCGTCACACGATTTTCTCTATTATTATTATTTATAGTCTTGGATCAAACAGACATTCTTTTTAAAACTCACCCACTCCCAATCATGTTTTGTATTATAATATACGTACTATGTTCGCAATAATGTATAAGTAAAATAACATTTTATAGAACCTGTACATACCATTGCATTAAGTTTGTTACGTAAGATGGTCCATTGTTCCTGGACGTGCATTCATTAACCTGTGATTTACTTAACGACACCGACATTATCTCAAACAAATATTGCCGAACAATGACTTTAAATGGCTGTTGAAGAACACGGTCGTGGCTTAGTTTCCAGTACTATCCTGGAAACTTGCTTGGAAGGATTTGACATAACCTCAAAAAAATTACTCAGGTCTCCGATGCAAGATTCCAAAGCGTGACTTTCCGAATGCGGAGCAGGTGTACCAACCACTCGACACAAATTTAGATGTGCGCGCGCTTAAGCCATTTTGCGTATCTGAATCATGGGAAAAGATATTGTGGTGCCATCTGTTAAGTATACACCACACTAGTTTCTCCTCGTGAACACAACACACGGGAATCGATAAGAAGGTTAATATTGCATATAAAATACATATCTTTTTCGGACACGTGTGTGTGTGTGTAGTACATTCGCGTTACATAATTTACTTACTAATATAACAGCCAATGTCCGTAACGCTTGACTGTACGAGACGCCGCTTTCACGGTCCGGAAATATGGAGTTTAGTTCTGAAGACAGCGATTCTGGTAGGAATAAATGTAAGTGAGGTTATGGTGGCCACGTTCAGCCGGAGTCTGGAGTCTCGCGGTCGGCTACGTGTTGCCGCTTTTGGCCAAATTCTGTCTTCAGTCGCCGCGAACATGTGTTCACACTTGATTTAGTTTATAAAGATATTTTATAAACTTTGTGTTTTCAATGTACAGTTTGTTAATTCTGCAATTCTGCCAGGCTATAAGGCGCCAAAGCTAGAAATCTCAGAAATCCAAAAATGTCCAAATAAAAGTCACATTATCTGTGCATTATCTTCGTTATGAGTAAAACTTATGACCAGCAAATATTAAATTGGATTTCATGGATATTCTTTTCCAGTGCTCAATTTTATTCTCTAAAATAGAGTTTCTCAACCTATGGTACGCGAACTAATTAAGAAAATCAAAATATAATATTAACGTAAATAACAGTTTTCCCTGAATGCATTTCGTTAGTGGTACGTTTAATTTGTTAAATTATAATTAATGGCACGCCAGCGAAAAAGGTTGCCAACCCCTGCTCTAAAGAATTATTACAATTAGTTATTCATTGCACCAATACCATTTTAAACACTGCCCATTGTGTGAGGACACGACGTTTCGGGAGTTAACTGTATTCAAATTTTCAGATGCTTGGTTTCATTTTAATTATACCGTTCGTCCCTTTTGTAACAAATATTAGGCTCGAAAGTTGGGATCAAAGTCGGGGACTTTCCAATACTAGGTTAAGTCCATCATCTGGTTGTCGTATCAACATAATTCCATTATGGTGACCATTAGATAACTCTCGTTTGAGACAACCATTTGAAAGTTTGTAGAGAAGGATGTGTCTTGGCAATTTTTTTTAGTACAAATATTAATTTCTAACAGACATTTTAATAAATTTTACAATTATTAACATGTAATTTATAGTGTCCTCGTGGTAACACTGGGGGAAAAATTACGAATACATTTTACACAGCAAAACACCTCAGTAGTTTAAACACGCACAAAGAAAAATCACTAAATTCTAAACACAAGACATTATTTTTCACGTAACCTTTGTGTAACAACGTTTAAAGGAAAACAGGAATCAGGCATCCTTCCTGATCCTTTCAGTCTGTCCTAAATTTGTCTACGTATTACATTCCACTTCACCGCAGTCTACAAAGTAGACGCCTGAGTAAAACTCGAGAATTTCTGTCACACTGTGTGGGCCTTCGTCGTTAAAAAGAAAGTCAGTCTCTCATGACTAAAACAAGGTCCGATGCGACTGTCTTGCACTCAAATGCAGAGGAGAAAGTCTCTCACATGTAGGTAGCAGATTGACAAACCCTGTAATTCGTCTATACGCACTCAAATTTTACCGAATTGGGAACCAGGGGAATTCTGACAAGTTAGCTCAGCGGTAATGTCTCCATCTTACATTCAGAAATTCGACACCATCTTCAGGGAGTTCATAACTGATCTATTTATTCTTTCCAGTTTACTTCAAGTAAAAATTCTCTCGTCTCTTTTAAAATTACGAGCTCTTCTCGGCATTTTCCAGAATAAGCCATCGTAATTCTTCAAGAAAGGCATCCTATTTTGATCAGGATGGGTCACAGCGTTTGCCCATAGCTAATGATATTAATTTATTACGTGATAACATGTATTATAAATAATTACGCAGAGGCTGGTAAGGAATTGGATTTAGAAGTAGACGTAGATAAAATTACATGTTTATGTCTATCCACCTGATGATGGAGGCAGCAAGGACCTATGATACGTCGGTAAACTTCTACCAGAAGACAGCGATCTACAAATAAAGAATCCTTTGACTGTGTACGAAGTCAGAACATTTGGGAAAATTGAATCGATCGTTTTCAGAAACGAAAGTGTTTTTTTTTGTGGTAAAAATCTAAACCACAACATATCACTAAAATAAGTCTATGACTCGTGTCGTTTAAAATATTTTTCAAAATACAGAAATGCTGGCCGCGCGCGGTAAACACGTGGACTGATGTGGTAGCAATAACACAGTTCTCTCAAAATGTGGACTCGTGTGGTTTACGTAATGACCGAACACTTTCTCTCACGTGGTTATGTATTTCCGTCTATCTGAAACCGTAAACACTAAGTGTAGAAGAGACAAAAATATGATTTTGCCTGTTGTTTTTGTGGATCTTAAACTGTGTCACACGTGAATGGAAGTACGCAGACTGAGGTTATTTGAGGACAATTCGCTGATCAGAATATTTGGACCTAAGACGGATGAAGTGACTGGTCCTCAGGGCTCCACAATTTGTGGTTCTATTAAACAATGTTCGGATAACCCGATGAATGAGGCAACCAATTTCTACAAAAGAATTCGAATTAAAGTCTCTGACATTCGAAGTATAAAAATAATAATATAATAAACAAAGAAATGAGAAGGAATCTAATAAAGATTAATCATATAAAAGAAATTTCTGAAACAAGCACGAAGATTATGTCACTTGTCATAACTTTTTCAATCCGTTAAGTTAAACGAATTCACAAATCCCTCCGAGGCAGCTCAAAACTTTCCCTGCACGGAGCGAGTCACAGTGAAAGTGCTGAATGCGCTCCCGTTACAGAACCAAGAATCATCAAGAACGTTTGGTACAGCCCAGGGTTCTGAAGGACGCAGACACGCCCTCTGCAATTCCCTAATCATCAACACGTGCAATCGGACTGAGTGAAGAGTGTCGGAGAAAACCACTGCGCTAGGCTTCCGAGCCAGGTTTAGCTTTCGCACAAAATTTATTAACGTTGAGGGAAGATGTGGGCTGTGGTCTTTGGGATTATGACGTCGTCGGTTGCTACCATCGTCAAGGAGGAATTTATTGCCCGTATCTCCAGCCACGGTGGTCTAGCGGTTAGAAAGCTGGCCTTGTAATCCTGGGGTCTCGGGTTCGATTCCCGATTATTCCATTCACACACAGAAGAAGGCAATTGCAAACCACTTCTGGATCATCTGCCAAGAACGTATATGAACAGGTCCCAGTCCGAGAAAAGGATGGAAGGATCCTGTTCATATGGACCTGTCGTCAGACAGAACACTAAATAAAAAAAATAATCTCCAGGGCACCGAAGACGATCCACAAGGCCCCAATTCAATTTTCTTTTATTGTTATACAAGTGGTAATACAAAGTCGAACACAGCCGTGGCCGATTATTAACGATATCGGTTTAAACGCAACTGAGAATAATATGCGTAAGAATTGACACGAAGCAAAATATATTCGGCGGCAAAACCTTTCGGGGATGTTGAATTCATGTCATGGCTCCATAAAAGTATCCTAATTATGAAGGTTTCACCATGCAAAACCAGTAGTGCAACTGGCCTTTTGGGCGCCTTCGATAAATCAGTTTTCATACGACTGTACGAAATTATGCCTCGCGCTCAGGGCGTGTGTGTACGGAGACGTCAGATCTTTCAAGGGCCCATTTCCTTCTAGTTGGTAATTATGCACAAAACTTCAGGCTTCTACGAAATATCGAATAACAGCGACACGACGTCAGCTTCGTCACTGGATGACCGGGGTTCTATTACCGACAAGGCACGAACATCCACTGCTTCAGGAGTGACCAGATTAAGAATGCCTACATTCATTCCCCGGTACTTCTTCATTGCACGGTGCTGATCCCTTTAAAGGGTAAACGTCCATCAGTACGTTGCTTAATAATTCGGTTTTCACCGCCAAGAAAACAAACCTCATTACCATAAATATCTCAATTCTTAATTGTCTTAATGCTGCTGTTCAGAAAATCACGAGAAACCCGAGAAAGACTACGTGGGAGACATGACCTGTTATTGAACGTCGTCAAAGCAGGTAAAACACACGGTTACAACATCTCAAACACGGAGGAAATAACTTGGCTTTAACTTACTTTCATTTTATTCCAGCGCCCCCTCTAACAACCCCCCTCCCCCCACCAAACATAACGGACACGCGTCCTTCACACAGCCCCTTCGTGTCAGACTACCCGTGACGAGTTAACTCGTCCGAGCTAATGTGATCTGCAACTCACAAACTGAGCCAGTGTCAACACGCGACGAGAGGCGAGGAATACACGTGATTCATGCAGCGTTCTTGAGTCGTGAAGTGAAAATCTGCGTCTGTCTTTCGAGGCGTCAGATTTCGATCGCGATTCTAGAGAAACTTCAGACACTTGCAGATGGAACACCCTAATCTTTGACATTTCATCAGACTGCAGCAAGCTAGTTCGAGGCACTTTCAAAGAGAGCGTCCCAGAAAGCTCGACCTACATGCGATGAAGTCGCTCCCAATATTTACGTCGAGGCGTGTATAAAAACTCTCCCACCCCACACGCACACAGAAACTTCAAGTGCGCATGCGTCGACATGCGCATCAGCTCGCTTCTTTTGTCTCTCTCACGGGACGAGTGAGTCGCCATAAACCCAAACCTCTTCCGGCGACATTGCGAGCACAGTTTCGTGCGTTTAGAGGTTAGCAATTTCATAAAGGCTTGAGAAAATGTTGACTTACCACACTATTGCCACGTTATATGCAAAAGCGAACTATAAACTCTTCCGTCTGGGGAGTTTATACCAAAATTTACAAACAGCAGATAAGCAAGAGTTGTCACTCTCACACTGCTCTTATTCAGTGGCGGTCCTTTTCCGTCTCAACTTCCGCTGCGACAGGCCGTGCCAGCCGGTCATCAGTTCCCGTGTCTGCTTTGTCACGCGTGTAACTAAGACGCCATAAGACAGGGTTTTTTTATTTTCATTCCCAGTACTGTCATGGGAACGCAACTGATATAGGGCAGGGAACATTTCCGAAGTCCACGCAAAAGTTCCGCGTAGAACCGTTATTTTCCATCGGAACGTCGGCACTCGGGATTCCTACGTTTACATCGCAGATAGAAAATACAACCTCAACGAAAAGATACCAGAACACGTGACAGCTTAAGACCGTACGCCATTCTTGCACTCAGTGGAGAAACGCAACTCATCTCGAACGCGTCACTGGAGTTTAAGATATTCATTTAGGCCATCGCCACTTCCTTCTTTGTACTTTTTCATTCACTAATCGCGCTAATTTTCGACGCTGAATCATCTGAACTACTAACAGCGTTGTTAAATAAACCACAAGTAAAAAAAAATGCAACAACCAATCCAGCATCCAATCAATAGACCAGCTTTACCTTCCTGTAGGATTAATAAAAATCTATGGGGATCATGAGAGATGTTTCTCCCTTAAAGTTAAGTAACAGCTGTCTAATCGAGCATTGCACATTTTTATGTTCCACTACTAAACAAAATATGTGGGATAAATCTATCCAAATTTCAACACAACAGTCCATGTTCTACGTAAGAGGTCACGAGCCTAAGCACATGCAATGCTTTAAGGACGACTGACAGTTTCCAACATTCCTAAAAACATTTATCTTAGCCTCGTGTCGTGAGGTCACGACTAAAATGCCTCTCCTTTCCGATATAGGCCTACTAAGGGTCGTCGGTTGCCGTCTTCCGTGATTTTATCTCTTCACAATCTATACACAGGTTTAGGGGGGAAAAAATCTCGGAGTGATCCGACGTAAAATTTTCATCTTTTGAGCTGTGGGACCTTTCTATTATAGATTTGCGTATGACGTCAGACACCAGCGTAGTTATAAAGAATAAAACATTAAAGTTATACAGCCTGAGTGGCGAAGTTCACAACTGCAGCGCAGAGAGAGAGAGAGAGAGACGGAAAAATTCAGGAACAGTTGGCCCCCTGCACACTCACTCGTAAACGTAGGGCCCCAGTTCGTCCAGCATCGGTTTCTTGCCCTCGTAAAGAAATTCCTCGGGGTTCGTCACATTGTACACGTAGATTCTGATGACGGGTTCCACGGGTGGTTTCCGCCACCATCCGAACGTCTGGGAGCCATTCCTCAGGATTATTTTCTGCAAAAAGTTATGAAAAAAACAAATGTTGAAAATAAAATACACAATACAGCATACAAGAGACCTGTAATTAAAAGTCCTTAGGCCGTGGTCTAGGCAACACGGAGTTTTCCTCCAGGGGCTTCCCCGGTTTCTCCGTGGCATCCCAACAATTACTCCATTCACACACAGAAGAAGGCAATGGCAAACCACTTCTGGATCATCTGCCAAGAACGTATATGAACAGGTCCCAGTCCGAGAAAAGAATGGAAGGATCCTGTTCATATGGACCTGTCGTCAGACAGAACACGAATAATAATAATAAAAATAAGTTGTAAGTTTATGACACTGAAACGTGGTTATCTTTAATTTAATTTAGATCAATTTTAAACAGGAGTACAGTAGCGAACTACCGCCTTGAATGTTTACTACAAACTGCTTCCTGTGAAACAAGTCACGTTAGTACTTCTAAAAATGTAACAATTCTAGCTGAAACGTGAATTTTGTGAGACGGTTGGTTCTTTTACCAGCGAGATTCCTGATTGGTAGACTAATTTAAATTAAGTCAAAATTTTCTTCCCCTGGTGGCCTGTTTTCTACTCCTGAGGTCATACTAAGTGACTGGGGTTGTGGTGTGAAGCCTTGTCTTGTACGCCAATTTTTGCATGAATTCAATTAATTTCGATCCGACGTCCTCGGGGTAAAATACTGTAATGGTTTATAAAAAGTGCATATTTTCAAGACATTTTGAACTTTCTGAGTGCATATGTTCTCGGATTACCAGCTGAGTGACAAAAGACCAATTCTGCTTCCCATGTCGGAGGTCTAAGGCTGCGGTCACACTGCAAGCGTATTCGCGCGAATAAATTGTCGGGCGTTATCGAGCGAGTTCGGGCGAACTTATAGTGGTAGTACTGCAAGCGACATCGCGCGAACGTTTGTGGCGCGAGCCTTCAGTATGAAAATGGAGTTGAGGAAGAGAACCGTTTGAATACATACCAGTACATATTAAATGCTACTGAGGAAGCAATAAAAAAGCAGAGTAATTTCCGAAACTGTATTTCACCATCAGAACGCTGCTGAATTCTTTGATAGATGAAAATTTCCTACATTCGACCGTATAATGGTCCAGCCTAAAGATACAAGCTACTAGTTGCTTATACTTCGCTTACAATTTTAACATTAAATCCAACACTGGACATACACTTAAGCCAGTTTAATTTAGTTGACATATTTTGGTCCAAGTTGGAATTACATACGTCCAAGTGGTTCATTTCCGGAAGGATTCCTAAAATTATCGTATGCATTTTTTTTTCAACCAAGCTACAAACTCCGCTCAGGATAATGTCCATTTCTTAAGTACCATAATAATACTAGGCCCAGGTTAAACTGTACAATTACTCATTACGTGACATTTTCCAGGCTTCTCGGATGTTTTCGGTTGACGTTGAATCCCTCGCGGCTTTACGCTGTCTTTCCCTGTAACTACCTTCCATCCACTGCTCTTAGCATCACTTCAAAACGCTGTTCCCAGCTCAGACTACACAGCGTCGGGAGACAAAATGATTTATAAACTGGAAAGGATACGTAAGGAAGCGACATCTGCCTCCATAGACTAAGGACACATATAGAACCTCAGTCAGGACATCGGGTGTCCGGGACGAGATTTGAACCCGGCACCTCACAAATACAAACCAGGAGTGATAACCACTCGGCTACATTCTATTTCATTCTATTTCTGTCGGTAATGCAGCACTCTGAACATCCGCAGAGAAAATAAATACATTGCTGGAATCAGACTGTTGCGTACGCTGGAGCATAGCCTAGAGTTTCCTTCCCGATTCATACAAAGAAATCAATTTGAGGACATCGTCCTTAAACTGCGGCTGGAACACAGCGGAGTGCAACAGAGCGTCTCGGTTCGCTGAATATCGAGCTGAGGGCTTAAAACGCCTTTGTAAATCCTCATTAGGCCATACGCCACACACCGGTGTTGGCGTTATTGCCTACACGTCACGGCGATCAGTGACAGAAATTACAATTCTTCATTAGCGTAATTACAGACATGTCCGTTTGTAAGAGACATCTGTTGGGGAAAACGGTGAAACACCTGATGGTTCATCAGGGTCACTTTTCAACCTGCATCACGATCTTACTCTGGTACTTTTTCAAATTTCCACCGAATGTGTGCGTAAGATTAATTTTAATATCAATTTTTTATCAAATGTTCTATGGTTCTTCCATCTGTCGGCGATATATTGAATTTCCTGCCGGCTCGACATATCTCATTTACGTAACTTAACCCTTTAAAGCCTAGCGGTAAAAACTGACCTTCGTGATGGAGAAGTATTGTGTTTCCTTTGCGGTGCGGACTGAGTTATTACATAAGAGAGTGCCCGCAGTGATACCACGAGACACCGTGGCGACCTGGCGACGTGTGTGGCTTGTCACACTCGAGAGACTTGTAGAAAACATCCGAGTCTGTCTACTTTGGCTAAGGTTAGGTTAGGTTAGGTTAGGTTAGGTTAGGTTAGGTTAGGTTAGGTTAGGTTAGGTTAGGTTCCGTTGCATTGGGGTGGGTTAGGCTTCGTCTAGTTTCGTCTTAGGTATTGGTTAGATCATATTAATGTTAATGTTGGTTAATTCTAGGTTAGGTTTAGGTAAGGAAAGGTTAAGTTAGGACAGCTTAAATTAATTTAGGTTACGTTACATTCTGTTAGCTTAGGTTCTGTTCCGTTTGGTTCAGTTAGATTCTATTCGAGTGTTAGGTTAAGTTAGGTTAAGGCGAGGTGAAGTAGGGTTAGGTTAGGTCGGGTCAGTTTTGTTTTGTATAGTTTAGTTTATTATTGGTAAGGTCCGGTTAGGTTAACATACTTTATACAATTTCTTTAATTTTTTTAAGATTTTTTAAAATTCTGAAATATTCCGTAGATTTTATAAAAAATTAAAAATGTTTTTCTTTCACTTCACGAAACGTTTGAGTTCTTCATTTTTAGAATTTTCTAAAATCTTTAGAACTCTTGAGACCTGAATTTGTTTTTAAATTTTATGTTTTTTTAGTTTGATAATTTAAATCAGGAATTTATTAAAATTCGGAAATGTATTAAATTGTTAAAATTTTTAAAATATTCGTAATTTTTTTTAAATATTGTTTGGACATTCGGAATTTCCGAAACGACTTTATAATTTAAAAAACAAATTTCTAAAATCTCGAACATGTTTTAATTTTTTTTAAAATTCTAGAGATTTTTAAAATTCCAAAATGTTTGGAAGTTTCTAAAAATACTGAGGCGTTTTAAAAATTCTTAGAATTCTCGAAAGCTTTAAAAAAAGTATTAAATTTATAAAATTTTGGAAAATGTTAGATTTTTTAAAAAAAATTAAAATCTTCAGAATTTTTTTCCGAATTTTAAGACCTTCTGATAATTTGGAATGTTCTGAGATTTTTAAAATTACGGCGAAGTTTCTTAATACGTTTACACACTCCAAACATTTTAACATTTTAAAAAATTGTGAAAACTGTAAATTTCTTGTCTTTATTTTGGGATTTGGTTTAATTTTTTTTTAAAATTCTGGTAATATTCAATACTAATTCCGTCTCCGTCAGGCTTTGTTACTTTTCAGGCATACACGGACAAATATACTAGATAATAAGAACGACTTGAATTTTACACAAGTTGTCCACTTTCGCTTTCAGAATTCGAATATTCTGAGCTCTTAATTTTTGTTGTTTGCATAGAATGCACATTTTGTGCTGACTTTGTCAAGAAATCACATGATGAATTAATTTACCAACAGCGTATAAATTATCTTATATACAACTTAGCCAGTACACAAAAATATAAATAGCGTGACGTTGCATTTGGACTTCAAAAAGTCATTTAATTGGCCCTTGATGATTACAAAACCAGACACGGGATGGATGAAACCCAACTTGATACCACTTGAGGTCCATTCGCGTGGGTCCAATTCTAACACTGCTCATACGTCAGTCACATTTTGTTCTGAACGAACTCGTTATTAATTACGAGGTACTGAAGAAAATGCAACCTCGACTTTTGTAACTTCAAACACAGAATAAACAGGAGTTCCAATGCGATTTGTTGTTTAAAGAACTTACGTTGTCAATGATCGAGTTAATCCAGGAGGAGAAGTACACCGTGACGATGGCGCCTAATAGAATCAGCACCAGCCCGACCACGATTACAAACCCTGCAAAAACAAAAACACTAACTTTGACTTCTATTAACTCATTTGCCATACTGGCTGATATCAAAATTGAAAACAATTTAATAATAACTGACAGAGACGAGGAGTGTCTTCGTAAGTCATGAACGCATGGTTTTTGATATTGCGCTGGTAAATAAATGAACAGATTCGTGAATTACTAAATTAGACCATTTTTGTGGAATTCTTACGAAGATTAAGCCCTTAAAGGGATATAACATAAACGCATAGATGTCTCTGAGATGCATACTGCCTCAACCATCAGGGTGGTGATGATCAATGAGTCAAATTATATCAACATCGTAGAATGCAGTCATCTTCAAGATTATTCTTGTTCCCACTGGCTAACACAGGGAGGGGTTTGTGAATACAGTAATTAAACAGGTCCATATGAACAGGATCCTTCCATCCTTTTCTCGGACTGGGACCTGTTCATACACGTTCTTGGCAGATGATCCAAAAGTGGTTTGCCATTGCCTTCTTCTGTGTGTGAATGGAGTAATTGTTGGGATGCCACGGAGGAAAACTCCGTGTTGCCTAGACCACGGCCTTGCCCAACACAAGTTATAAATTCGAACCCGAGACCCCAGGATTACAAGGCCAGCGTCCTAACCGCTAGACCACCGTGGCTATCATTCAGTGTTACAATACTGTAACTGCAGGATCAAACTGGCTTCGCGGAGTGCAGTCCTTCTTAACAAGCTACAATCACACGGCTAGTTAAGAAATTACCCGTCTTTTCTGGAACCTCAAGACTCTATATTGTATTCACAACAGCCCGCCAATGGCCCCACCTTGAACAAGACTTACTGTAAATGGGTACAGAATTTTGATAGGAAAGCAGACACTTGGAGTACCAAGAAAGTCGGAGTGCGAATAAAGTGTACCTGCCAAGGAAAATACGATGGGCGGGGCATGTAGCATAACGCATGGGAGAGATGGAAAAAGGATACGAAGCTTGGCCGAAAAATCTGAAGGAAAGAGACCAAGTTAAAGACCGAGATGTCCATGGAAGGATAATATTAAAATGAATCTTAAAGAAACGGCTAGGAATAGGTGGACTGGATTCATCTGTCTCAGGACAGAAACTTGCTGTGTGTTCTTGTTAACGCTGTTAAAATATTTTGATTCCGTAAAAGACCGGGATTTCTGACAGACAGACTCTGCCCCACGTAGTCATAAGTAGACACAGGACCCACAGAATTGGATAACAATAACCACGAAGACTTAAACTGCACGCCATTAGAGCTCGCGACCCGACACGCCACGGCTGTTGAAGGTGAGGAACCTGCCTCGCTTCAAGGATAACACCTCATCCTGCGACGATGAGGATGTCACTGACGCACCACGTTCCTCCAAACGCGCACTTCTAAAGGAATGTGTAGAGTCGAAAGCAACAAAGAATGATGGAAGAATGGAGAAAACAGAGGCCATATGAGGACCATCGCAACTGGCAGTTGGGAAATGAGACGCTGATGGAGAGAACGAGTAGAAGACATTTTGAAGACTGGATTGGA